TTACAAATTGAAGTGATTTCTGTAACAATACTCTTTACTTTGGGCCAATCTTTTGCCCATTCTTCGTATTTCGATGGTTGCCGACAATATATATATATTGAATAGAGTTGATTGAGTTGATGAATACGTGGTACGATACTTTGACATAGAGCACCAGAAATAATAAGAAATGCTTTTTCCTTTTGTATTTGTGTAATATAATTGATGCATTCATTATCATCATCGAATATTTCAATAGTGTTAACAGTTTGTCGCAAATGTTTAATTGAATTGCGAAAGTCATCAGTAGACTCATCGATTTGCGCATCGAGCCATACCAGAAGAAAATTTTGAATAATTTCATTTGAATCAGTGCGACGATTCCGTTTTTCAATAATCTTTGAATTTTTATAAGGTATGGATAATTGTGATGAAGGCATTACAGTTGGTTTAGTGTTATTATGATGACCGGAAGAATTCATTGTTGAAACTGATGTGCTGCAGCCCATATGATGCTTGGTGTTGAAAGTTATGTGTGCGAGTGATCAAACTGCAATTATGAATGAAATTTATTTGACCAGAAAACTTCTTTATTTAAATAAAACTTTTATTTGATAATTATTCTTTCGCAAGTATTATTGCATCCCTAGAGAAAGTATTGAGCTCAGGGTACCCGTGTACTGAGAAAGCCTTAGCAGAGTACCGAATATGGGTACTTCGAAGATTCTCAGTAATCGTACTAATGTAGGTACTGCGCGTGGTTCCCATAAAAGTACGCTCACTGAACAAGTACTTGTACGGGTACCCGCATCTGTAATTTTACTGAGGAAAGCTCTACAGGGTACCGTACATTTGTTGCGTTCTGTGTAGTGACTATTCATTCACCGTTTTCTTTTTCACACACGGCTCCGTATAAACAAATGGGCAAAACATAAGAAATTAGTCTGTTTTCATACTAACTTTTTCTAGATTATTTCTTGACTATTTCTTGGTCGAGAACATACCGATCTTGATCGTAGATTAAGAGAAGACTACTCCGAAGTGGTCTGATGGATACTTGACCAACTCAAGTCGGATCAGATCCCGGGATTGTACCTGCTAAGTTTTTGGAATTGAAAAAACTAAATCGAATTAAATCGAAAAAAATGTAGTAAATTGTTTTGAGAGAAACAAAAATTTTAAAAAGTCAAAGGTCAGGTTCGATCCTGAATATACTGAAATTTTGGTAACATGGTACCTAGAAATACTATACAATAGTACCCTATTGAGTATCTGATCAGTACCTTCAAGTACCCAGTTACTACACATTTCGTAGTAGGGTACTTGCCAAAGTACCACTTTGGTACCCAAAAGTTCCTGTGACATACTGGTAACAGTATACTTTTTTGGGTGCTCTTAACTCAGTATATTCTCTAGGGTGGATATTCTTTTATATTCCCAGATAGAGATTGGTTCTTATTCTTTTGTTAACACTTACAATGGATGTCTTGTCTTAAGATATTTTTTAGTTTTTTACTGAGAGGTTTTTATTTTGTGTTTTTCAAGAAACTGAATAACACGAGCGTGCAGTGATATCAGGTGAAGAAGGAGAAACATAAAGCAACAAAACACAGATTGTTGTTATGTGCGATCGATAAACTTTGGACGTCATTTTTTTATTATTGTTAGTATGCCTTTATCTCACGTTGCAGCAAATACAGGTAGCTAGAGGTCGCACGCTTAAAGAACAAAATGATTCATTATCAGAGCATTGCTTTTATATTTCTCCAACCAGACAATAGTTTATTGCAAAAATGCTGCTACCACTTGTGATGACTAATTTGCTATGCTAATTATGAATGTTGCATGATCGAAAAGAAATCAGTGAAAAAAGTTAAATTAAACAAATTCAATGATTTACAATGAATCATAGGTGATGGTAATCAGCATATGAAATATAAAATAATAAACCACTTCACTTACATTGAAAAACAAATGATAAGATACTGAATCAAAAAAGAGTGTTTCGGACTATAAAAAGATTACGATCTTATTTCAATTCTCGAAACCCTTTTATATTCTATAGAGAACACTACAAAACACTGGAAAAAGCGTTCTAGATCAATGAAAATTATTTTTCAGCAACCGAAGTTTTTACAAAACCTTCTTGAGGATGCAGTATTCGCTTGAAAAATGGATCGGTGCAACGGAAAAAAAATTAGTATGATTTGTTTTAGGTGTGGATGTGGATGTGAGTGAAATAAATACCCAGGCGTACACTTAGACCTACACTCACACCCACACCCATGCTATGTTACTAATTTTAAACAAATAATAGAAAGAAGAAATATTAATGAAAAAAAGTAAAATAGTGTTTATTTTAGATTTTTTTAATTAATTTTATTTATCTTTTACGCTAATAGAAGATATAGTGAGTAAGTTAAATTAAAAAAAACGACAAAAGAAAGTGAATTATGTAGAAGACAAAGTGTTCATTTGCCTAGAAATTGGTTTGAAAAGAAACAGACGAACAGGTTATTTTATTTGTTTTAATCATATTTGTTTTATTTTTCTATAATTTATCTTTTTAGAATTATATTATAAATAAATAATGAAGAATGTGAAAAAGGTTTTATTTTAATTAAATATAATTCAGTAACTGATGAATATATTCGTGATGAAAATGTGAAAGATAAAAAAAAAGTTAGTTGGATTGATAAAATTACTCATGTTCAAATATTCAAAAACTTGAAAAAGATTAGAAAATGGTTTACTTGTCAAGAAAAATTTTATAAATTTCATCAAATAACTTTTCAATGTCCATGAACAACTTTTGATCAATATGCTAAAATTATTTCTCAACTACAAATTGGAAATCAGGAAATTATCGATATATCACTAAGTGTTTATTTATCAAATTTTATTTTCTTTTTAAATTTCAATTCGAATTGATTATTTGAAAATCTAATAGATGATAAGATAAATACTTTATCAAATTTTCGAATTGGTCTTAAAGTAATTTTACTAAGTTGAAATGATAATAATGATGATAATGCTTGACAAAAGCAAAATTATTTCGACAATCAATTGAACAAATATGAGATGATAATCAATGATATTTTCTTAAAATAAAAGCTATTATTATCGATAAACATTCCAATTAGTCAAATTTATTTCTTTTTTGTTTTTTATTCAACAAATTCGTAATAGATACGAGAATTGAATTTCATTTCATTAGATTAACAATTTTTTTTATTTATGCAAATGAATAAACACTAATTTATTTTCATTTGATATCAAGAATTTTATAGAAGTATGAAATCAATTGAGTGTTATGTTTTCGTATCTAACAAATCTTATTTGACTTTCTCTCGATTTATTTTTGTTCATCAAATATCAGAACTTTTCATTTGTATCTTTTTCATATAACATTTATTCCAAAGAAACTAACTTAGTTTTATTGACATGAGAAGACATCATGATCAGATAAATATTCTCTTTTGCACAGAGATTTTATGATAAAACTGACAAGATAAATAAATAAAATACAAATGAAAAGAAACGAGTCATAGATATGAATTGTCTGAAATATAAATATTGAAAAAATTCTCAATGGTTCGTATCATTGATCAAATCATCCACTTGTTCTTCAACACTGTCGAGTAGACTGGGTCGATATGGTTTCCATCCCATTTTACGTAATCTCTCAGCCTTTGAACTTGATTGACTTCCCACAAGCCAACTTAATAGACCAAATAGAGCATTTTCGATTTCATCGTCTGGAAAACTGATGACAGTGGATGATTTGAGAAGACCTTTTTTGTGAAGAACTTCACCAATTTTTTCGGACACTTCTCATTCTGAATTTTGTCCATTTTCGGTAAAATAGTAGCCTTCACCCCCTGTTATCAAATATGGACTAGGCTTTGCATCAGTTTAGGCATCTGGTCCATAGACAGCAAGAAGTTGATCGAAAAGAATAATATAAGCATCGACCAAATCGGCGATATGAACATTATTCCACGTTGATTCACCTGGTCCAATCTTTTCTGTCTTACCTCGTATCAATGCAGAACGAAGCAGTATTGAAAGTAGCATGTAAGCACGATTGAACAGTCCTGTAATAATGCCATAGATGACAGGTGGAAGAACGGTAACAGTTTTCAATAGAGGATTGAATTTTGCTGCATTGATTATAACGAGATCAACATTTCGATGTGTCTGTTCATCAGGTAAACCATTGATTTTATCGGAATGAAGGTCACTATAGATTGTATTCGATCCTTCCTTTCTTCGAACATCTTCAGCAAGAACACCAGTACCACCCGTATGAATATAAATAGCTAGTTTTCCTGTTGTCTTAATTCGTTTGTTCAAACCAGTAATAATCGATCTAGTCGATGGAAGATCATCGACCGAATTAGCCGTATGAATAACAACATCCGATTGACTTGCTGCTTTTTCGATGATATCGTCAGAATCATTCGAACCGATCAGAGGAATAACACCAATCGACTGAAACTTTTTCACTCTACTTTCATCGCCACGAAGTAAAGCAGTTATTTTAAAGTTTAAAACATTTGGATGTTGTGAAAGAGCAGTCAGAATGAAACCTCCGATGTAACCAGTTGCACCAGTCAACAGAATATTAATTTATTTCAAAGACATTGTCTATCAATTCAGATGTGAAAAAATCTTTATTTAAATACAAATAAAATGTGCCTAGGTATGCATGACTAAGCAAAGAAAAACATAAAAAGGAGGGACAAAAGAAACGATGAAGAACGGACGAACGGTATGAGTTTGATGACGAGGCATGTTAACAAAAAACTAATGTCACGGTTATCATCATTCTCCTTTCTTTTACCGAAAGAAAAACATATTTTCTCTTCGTTTTTCATCACCATACATTTTATATTTTGATGAGCGAAAATTATATTTTCTGATCAATAAAATATTCATATGTTTCATTTGTCTGTACGTGAATACTTCGGAAAAACAGATTGTTTTATGTACTAAATATCGAAAAATGAAGTTCTATATTATCATATAGAAAAGTATTGCCTGTTAAAAAAAAATAATGATCGTGGCCATTTTTGCAATAACATAAGAATAGAAAGAGCTAGAGACTCGTGACTTTCACCAATTGAAAGCGACAACATCGGAACGTCTTTTTCTTCAATATTGTATAAGACGAAACCATTTAAAAATCAATCATTTCTACAAAATATCGGAAAAAAATGCATGGAAAAGGTGTGTCATACAGATGAAATTTTGGTTTTGATATGTGATTTGGATCAAGAAACTTTAGATCTATGGTTAAGAAATAATTCAAATTATTATCTTCACACATTCTAATGTTAAGGTAATAAAATTCTTAATATTCTCCCTCGAAAAATATTCATTTCTCTTAAGTTTTAAGCAAATTTTCTTAGTTTTTGTCAAAATTTCATCTCAATCATAGATAAATTTTGTGCATTTTTTCGATATTTTATAAAAAATTGTTGATTTTAAAATGATTTCGTCTTATACAATATTGATAAGAAAGACATTCGAATGTTTCTTCTTTCGACTGGTAAAAACCGCAGTTGTATAGCTCTTTCCGTTCTTGAGTTATTGCACAAATGGCTACGACCATTATATTTTTTAACAGATGATTGTTTATCGAATTTATTCACAATGTTTTTACTCAACAACATAGTTGTGTTCTAAATGTTAATACTTTCCTTATTTTTACTCCACAGTTACATACTGTATTAAATCAATAGATCTTCCACTTAATCAGGTTTGTTTTTGATATCCGTAACTCCGTTGTTTTCTCATAAAGACAGTTTTCTACTTCCATTCAATTATTAGCCTAATATTTGTACATAAAAAAAGTACACAGGCTGCAACAGGCAGGTCAGGCCGACGAAGACGAATGACAGGCGCAGGAAGGCTACAGAAGTTCATAGCCTATCATGGACAGGCCAACGAAAAGTAGGTCTGTTTCGATCTCTGATATTGAACAATCGCTTTTCAATCTCTAAAACAAGGTATTCAGACATGTTTTTATCTGAATGTTGTTTTAGACGATATATTATACAGAGTAAAATAGCAGTCACATTCACAATCTGTTTACATGACCAAAAAAAGACGCTTGTAATTCTTTCCCGTGATGATATTGATACAGCGAAAAATGTACATCGGTCACAATAGTTATATAATTTTCTTCATCTCGAGTGTGTCATATTAATGATTATTGTAGGATACGCGAGGCAGTATTATTCATAGGTAAGTAATAATGCAGACATTATTCGTGGGTGTAGGTGTCGATGTCGGGAGTGAATATGGATGGTGTGGGTGCGGATGTGGATGTCGGGGCTGGATATGGATGGTGTGGGTGTGTGGGGGGTACGTGTGGGTGGATGTGCGTGTGAGTGGATGTGAGTGTGCCGTGGTGAGTACGGGTGTGGATGTGGGAGTGGGTGTAGGTGTGGGTGTGGGAATGGGTGTAGGTGTGGGTGTGGGAATGGGTGTAGGTGTGGGTATGTATGCTTTTGACTTCTGTACCCATCCCCACCTACACCCACGCCCAAACCCATACCCATACCCACACCCACACCCGCACCCTCAGCCACACCCACCCACACCCACCCACACCCTACAAAAACATTTTTTAAAGTTCTATTAAAAACATTTATTCAACTTTTTCTACTTTTTAGAATACTTTACTTTTCTGATCTATCCTCTAATCACTCTTTGATTATATCAAAGAACAGAAATAAAAATATATTTTTCGGTTATCACCTCTCTGTTTAATTAATAAGTATTTTCTGAAATAAGAAAAGCGATGAATTTTTCTTTTTTTTTTTTTTGAGATTATTTAAAGAACTTTATAGATGTGCACTTTAATTATTTCATTGAAGATGTGACAGATGAATAAAAAGTAAAACAATTCATAATGTTAAATTGACAGCTCATTTCTCTTTGAGTCGTTTGCTGTGGTCAATTGATAAAAGAAAAAAACGAAAGAAAAATGAATAAATTATGATAAAATAAGGATACGTATTTTTTATTGGTTCTTAACTTCTATATGAAGTGAGCAACATTTCTTCGGCTATCGTGTTTCGCTCACTTCATATGACCAACATTTTCACTATGCTGTTTATAACTCATAAAGAAAAATGATATCTGCTTTTTTTTCATTCGACCTCATGTTCTATAAATTTGATTGGATATAATTTATAAACAATGCATGTCCGCTCCTGTCAGTTGACTGTAGCAGTCAGAAATAATAAACACTGTTCATTTCTATGTTTGTACAATAAGTTATAACCGAGATAATATGTGTATGTTTACCTTGTTACCTGATCTTATCCTACTCAAGATTATGTCTTATTTGACACCTGCAGAAAACTTATATTCATTCTTTGATATTAATGATAAGTTTTGCTGTAATAATCTACTTCGTGAACAACGATATTCAATTGATATTTGTAATTTAACAACATTTGTTCCTTCCTCAATATTTCATTACTTATGTGCAAATGTCTTTCCTTATATATCACAATATGCTAAATCATTGATGATTAATGCTGTTTCTGTTGGTAGTCGTGTGGTTCATGAAATTCCATGTATTCTTTATTCGAATTTAGAATCTTTATACTTAAATTCATTGCAGGTATATTTATAATTCTCTCAACATAATAAATTAATTAAAAGTCGTACGATCATCCTTTTGATTTTATTTGTTCAGAGATCATTTTTCAACTTTTATTTAAAACCGGTGTTTAAACTTTTATGATAAAAGAACTACAAAAAAAAACTCAGAATATTGATGAAAGATAATTCTATTCGATTTTTCTATCAAAGATCCACGAGTTGTAAAAACACACTACACGATGACATAGACAAAATAATGTGAGAGCTGATGTTTTGTTTTGCTTTTTGGTGATATTGTTTTTCTTCTAGATCACTAAAATGAATGATTGCTATTAGGTTTTTTAACATATGTTTTTGTTTTTCTAGTTTGAAGTTCATAGAAGAGATCGAATCGTGTGTTGACGAAGTAGAATGAACATTTAATCAAGAGCGAGGCAAATTTTTACCTGTTTGGTGGATCTCTTTAACATATATATTTTAGAGCTTAGTGCATTTTCCAATGATAATATTTACTGAGACTTACTAGCATTTTAGTAAATGTCAATGGATATTACTTTATATTGTATCAAAATAAGTTCGTGGGCTTGTAAAATTTCTTTGATATTTGAGTTTACTGCTGTAGTGTTATTTCGACAAGAAAAAGATTCACCAGTCATTAGATCAAATTGTTAACAATATTCGAAGATTATCTTTGTTGGAATTATTGTATATACGCGGAACCATATAGATAATATAATTTCGATGAAATTTAAACTAAAACTATTATCAGAATTAGTTCTTTTAGCATATTCTGTAAAGTATAGATGCATACATTATTTACTGCAAAGAATCTAGAGATAGTAAATTGTCTGTCAGTCGGTCAGTAGATATATGAACTAATCCTGTCTGTATTTCTAATAAATATGTAGATTTCAAATTCTCAATCTGAGATAACCTGAACTGAAAGATCAGATTATGACTTAATCAGTTTAGTATATTATACAAAATCTTGCAACATGAATTGTAAACTATATGAATGTAGTGTTGTCAAAAACTTAGTTAGACTATATAAATACTCCTAAACAAACACTCACAAATCTAACAATATCTTAAATCCATTTATTATGAATATTTTGTCTCCATCTTATTCAGTATTCTCGACGTGGGGGAGGGAGGAGTAGTCCCCACCACTTTTCGGTTCTGTCTGTGAAAATTTTTTCATCATCTATCTGTCAAATTCTTTAGTCATACTTCGGCTTCTTACAGATTCGGCTGACAGCCCGTGAGTTCTGGAAGACAGTCTGTGAGATTTGCCCGGTAGTCTATGAATCCTATCGGACTTGATATATAGTCTGTTGTTCCTGAGAGATTGCTTTTCATTCTCTATCCGTTAGTGAAGTTTACTGAAGTCTACGGCTCACATGAAATTAGATTTGACGAAAGGATGGATTTCGATTGTTTTTTTTCAAGTGAAAAGGACTAGTGTTTGGCAGAAAGTCAGCAATTTTTTGCAGAAAGTGGCGTCATATAACTTTATGGCACATACAAAACAAAAAAATACTTATACCATACACTTTCGCGAAATTTTTCTGTAGAAACTGTTTTTATTGGGCTTTCTCAGGTAAAATGATGAAAAGAACTTAAAAAAAAACAGGTTTTTGCTCTGGTTTACCATGGAAGCTTAAAAATTTAGCGAAAAGTTTTTTAAAATTTTGGCAAAAAGTCAAAGATCTGTTCAAGTTTTGGGGGATTCATCAGAAAAATTTTTGAAAAACCTTGTCCTCTTCCTACTTAATATGTTTCACCATGTGACACCCCTGCAGACATGTGATTGAAATTAAAGTCTTCTGCAGGATGGGTGTGAACGCAATAGAATTTATGATATTACTTTTGCATCTGTTTTCATAATTTTCTGTATTAGTATATAGTAAGTGAAAAGCTGATACATATGTTGACCAACATCTTCATTTACCTTGAGAGAAGGTCTATCGTATTTGACATTTTAGTCCAATAGGAATTGCGCTAAGAGCTTTTTTTTTCTGTTAAGGTAAATAAAAAGAACAGTTTTGATTTGTTTGATTCTAACTATTTTGATTATTGCTATTTGTAAATTAATGTACATAATCGTTTCTGTTTTTGTTTTCTATAGGAAGAAGATTTCGCTTTTGTTCTCCATCATGCTATTCAATTGAAACATTTGACATTGGAAAATGTAAATCCGAAAAGTATTAATATGGTTTTTGACCAGTATTTATACCGGCTCGAATCATTCATTTACAACGATGTTCTTCCTGAAGAACTTACAATGAACACATCATTTTCTATTCTGTCAACTTTTTCTGTTCATCTCCCTCGATTAAGCCATTTATTGCCATTGATTATACATATGCCACAATTGAAAAATCTTAAACTGGATTTCTGCACTTGGTATAAAACCGATAAAGAAGAACGGTTTAAATTGTTACAAATGACAGAATCTGTTGAAATGAAGATGCTAAGCAATATTAAAGAATTCACGTTTATTAGCCGTCTAAATGATATTCCATGGTCAATATTTGTACGTCTTGTTAAATCAATGGTTCAACTTCACACCTTGCTTTTTGATTTTGGTGTAATATGGGCAGCGCCACCTGACGATCTTTATCGTTATAGTGAAATTAATGATGAAAGCTGGAAGTCAATAACGCCAGCGGATTATTTATCAACGGTCTTACAGTCACTTAATCAACTAGTCAATCTCTCTTTTCGTCTGATCATCTATAGTTGCAAAGAAAAACCAGTTGAAAGCAGGTGAGACATTATTTAATTGTAAATGAATCGTCTATACAGATAATTATATCATTGAATCTTTAATTCTTATAAGAGACGCAGAACGACAAACTTTCAGATCTAACTATAAACTTGTCTATAGGAGAAACAATAAAAATAAGTCATATATATATTTTTTTTTTGCTTTTTTATTAATAGATGGAATAGTCCATATTGGCCAAGAACGAATTGGTTTTTTGAACCACAGAGACGACTCTGTCACTTTTATACAATTCCATGGCCTGGAAATTTAAAGTATTTTTTTGAACTTGATACCCAAATTGATCAGATTAAGAGTGATCCATATGTAAAGATGGCTTACTTTGCAACAGACAACAATGGATTCAACTATAGCCGATTTGCTCGTTTGTCTCGACATTTTCCAAAAGTAATTCTTAAGAATTTTAAGGAATTTGTTTTACCTAATGTATGAAGTCTATTAAGAAATTTATTGAATTGTGATATAAGTAACTTGGAAATGAAAATAGCTAATAAATTATAATTCATACAAAGCAATATATATATTCAAAAAAGTTGTAAATCAATCTAAAATTGACACGAAAAAAACAGTGATATCATTTAATAAGAAGTTGAAACTGATCGTCAGATTCTAAAATTGTCAATCGATGGAAATGGGAATTCTATCAGTTAGAAAAACGTATGAGATTTCAAGTTTGTTTCATACGCATAAGAATAATTTTTTTATAATTTTCTAAAGATGGACTTATTCAGTAATTATATAGAGTAATATTTTCTCATTTTTTTAAGAACTAGTTCTATGGATCTTCTTTTATTCTTCTATGAATGAGTTTCAAAATATCCAAGACGAATTGAATCTGATATAGATGTTTTTTGACCTATTAAGACACAAGCATTTGACAGCATATGACAGTCATTGTAAGAAAAGCAAGAAATGAATAGTCCTAATTTGTTTTGCTTCATTTTTAGAGGCATTGAATCAACCATAATCAGAAACTTGATTATGTCGATTTTACAAGCTCGATCATTCACTAAAGGCTGAGACGAACTAAAAAAATATCTTTGAAAATCTTATACTTCATTCTGTTCAGAGATGGGCTAGTCAAGCCTTTTTTTCGAGTCAAGTCGAGTGAAAATATTTTTGCCAATTTTTCGTTTTCTGTTTATTATTATAAAGAATATAGCAACAAGTTTTTATGACGCAATGTTTGTCTTAGTTTTTCATATATAAAAAAAGGAGAATAGTCCTCCATAAAATAAAATGACACAATTACTATAGAGTTATTGACAAAATAAGAACAATAAAACCAATGTTTGCTCTTTTAAACTATGTAATGGAACTCTTTCATTTATTTTATCATAGATAAATGTACACACAGTGAGAATTTTATCTTATAAATTGTGTTTTTTTTTCATTCAAAGCATAAAGGCGAGCTTTGCTCTCTTCAGTCCATCTGTATTGACACCAGTACATGATACCTTTATCGATGTCCTTTACCTTATTTTGAATACTTTTACTATTACATTATTGATTCGCTTGAAATCCTTTAGTTTTTCTACTTAAATTGAAAGATTATAAGAAGTACAATACGTCAGGACGGCTTACACAAGTGAAGAGATTCATGGAAATCAGATGAGTAAGAGGAATCAAAGGATAACGACAGAAAGGTAGTAAACAGTATAAATTTAAATGCAAGTTTTAAGGTATTAAGTTACGTATGAATAAGAATTTTTTTTTATAGTATCTAGTAGTAAGAAAAATGCATTCTTGGAATCAAAATATAATATATCAAAATTAACCCTTTTAGGACGGGTGATATACCATATCTACCCTATTTTTTCTTTTTTGAACAGTGAAATATATTATGCATTGATGACAAAAAAAAAATGTAAGTACAATGTAACGAGAAACGGTCGATCTTCTTTTGACTAATTGGCGAGGCTAACAGTTCGTCATTTTCTATCAATAATTAGTGGAGAAAGATGATAATGTATTGTCTTTAGCATAATAGACACACTATCAAAAAATCGTTCTCGTACGAGATACGAACATGATTCCCGATTGTTTTCAGAAGTGAGGGGAGTAAAATTTTGACAGAAAGTGTCTTTGTACGAATTTTGCCACTTATCAAGCAAGAAAACATTTAACCTATGTACTGTCTGCAAGATTTCCCTGGCAGAAAATGTTTTTATGGGACTTTCTGCCAGAGAAAGCCTAAAAAACCAGATTTTCATTGACAATTTCTAAGGATTTTTAAGCATTTTAACAGAAAGTTTTTAAATTTGATCGAAAAGAGAGATATCTTTTCAAATTTTGTCGAGGCTGGATCCCAGGTCCAACTTGATCGGGAGCTCTGAATACGAATGTTGAGATTGTAATCTGGATTTATACATTGCAGATTATTTTTGAGAGTATAATATTTTTAAAATTATATTGGTAAATTTGAATTAAAAATACAATAAACTTATCTTGAAATGTTCGTTTTTACTTTTTTCAAAAATATCAGACCATCGTGGAAGGATTGACAAAAGATAAGATTTCTTTTAAATTCTGATGCAGATACAGTAGAAATATAATACTTATAAAAAAATACTATGAAACTTCAAAGGTAAAAATAACGATAGAGATTTTTCTACAATTTTGTTAAAATATTGTTACAATCAGTTGTCGAAAAGAATCTTTTCAAACTAAAAATGTTAAATGTATTTCGAGAAAATCTTATCAATAAAATAGAAGACAGAAGAAATGAATATATACTGATGTCAAGTATGTAATGTATTTTAGATTCGACATCTCTCTATGATGGATAGTGGCACGATTTCTTTACCATCTCCATTTCATGGCAGTGCTCAAACTCTTCTTTATTGTCGGTCTTTAAAAACTTCTTCATCAATATCTGGATCAGATCTTTCGCAAATATTAGTCTTTTTACCACGGCTTCGCCGATTGGCTACTGCTGGTGGTTTAGATCAGTTGGCTGCTTTTGCAAATTTTCAATCATCTACTGTTATTCAATTAAACGTTTTAGATTGGACGCCTGCAAGTATTGATTTATTATCAGAAAATAATTTTCCTGCTCTTCAATTCTTATCAATTAACCTTGACCAAGCGACAATTATTGACGAAGTGACAATTGTACAACGAATTATAGAAAAAAGTTTTGATACTATATCAACTTTAATTAATCTACACTATTCAAATACAATGACAAATCAAGATTTCACTTCAAGCATTAACTCAAATCGATATTTACATTTTTATAATGTTCACATTGAGAAAAGGCGAATAATTATTTGGAAATAAATGTCTTTATTCACGTTTAATATTTTAAATAAATCATTCAGATGAAGCTCAAAACATTTTGATACTTCTGTAACAGCACGAGATATGTGCAGACGTCAAAAGCATAGACGTAATTTAAATACTTTTGAAACTAAAAAACGTTTTTGATTTATAGGACATGTCAAATTATTACATTCGAAATTCTTTTATTGAATAGTATTCAACCTTATTTCCTAAGCAATAGCATTCAAATGATGTAAGAGTATATTACTCAAATACAATGCAAAAAAAAAGATGCACACATAAGTATATTTCTAAAGAGCAATCATTATAAAAGTACGTACAGATTGATCTAACATATCAAGCAATCCCGTAAGTCCCTTTCAAGGAACAAATAGAATTTTCTTGCAAGGAAAAAGATCATCAGATATTGCAAAGCAGTCATTTATATCATACCGATAAGTATTGTCACGATTCAAAGAAATATTTTGTCCAGCAGCTTTACGTATGTTCTTTTTAAGCTCATCCGATGATAAACACACTATAATTGAATCAATCTAAAATTGATAAAAAGTTGATATATTGGTGTTTTTATTGACTAATAAAATGAAAAATTGCTTAGAAAGTGAAAGACAAGAAGTATTCTTTTTCTCTAAATTAATATAAGACTGTTCTAAAACCGTAATTAATTTGCCTGAATAAGCATGTATCTCTGTCTGAAACTTATTGTTGAACTTGCCATTGCTGTATTGTATTGTTTTTCGTTATAAAAAAGTTTCTATGCGTCTACTTTACATGGTGGGTTACAATTTTTTACTAATTGTCTCGACATTTATTTCTATTTTTTTGACAAAAGAAGAATGAACGAGTAATGCTCTGATAAATACTTAGTCATCGCAGTGATATAGTCAGAATATGATAGAAACAATCGGAATTCAACCTTTCATTATTGATAAGAAGTGACGTGAAGATAATGAAAAATTTTTATATTAAGGGGAGAGACACATCGTAAACTATCGATAAATGTTGCTGAAAAAATTATTGAGTAATATATACAAAAAGAAAACGATTAGCATGAATTATAGATAATGAGTGCATTCACTCGCTTGTGCTTTTTAAAACACTATTTATGTGAATAATTCTAGGTTGATAAAACAAACCTTCTGATCTCTTTAAAATAAAATTAAAATCCTAGTGATGACGACTCACCCACACTTGCTTTTTCATTGATCAAATCACCAAATTGAACATCAATCATTAGACGTTTGATAGTTTCTTGTTTGATTCTTTGTCAATTGGACAATGATGTGACGGCGAAAACAGTTCCCATAACAGGATTCGATTTTGGACAATACTCAGTAGTTTCATCAAATGTTTGTACTGTATAACTATAGATAGTACCGTGCTTAGCTCTTTTATCTACGTACTTAATATTCCATCTATGTAACAGTAGCCCAATTATTTTTTTGTGTTGAACAGTGATCTTCAGATTTCCAAATTCGCTAACCTGACGTACTTGCCAGTTCTGACCAGGGTGTGGGTGTGGGGTGTGGGTGTGGATGTGGGTGTGGTGCTTCTAATTTATCTACACCCACACCCACACCCTATTTGGTTTGGCTTTGAGACAAGATTTGAATTCTGTTTGGGTATGAATTTGGATTTGGTTTCAAATGACTGGCATCTCAAAGGATTTGGTAATATAAGATAATACAACAATAATCTACTTTACTAGAGAAGCAGCACAACAAGAAAAATATTTTGTAATTTGGCACGAAATCCTTGGTATTTGGATTTTGTATTCGACAAAAATAATATAAATAGTTTGCCTTTTGATAATGGTCGCCAAATTGCAGATTATTTATGTAGATTTGGTCGAAAAGCAAATCCATGCTTCAAATCCAGATCTAAGATCCAAATTCATATCCAAATCAAATTCCAAGGCCATCGATCATAAATCTCAAATCTATTCTAGATTTGTTACACTCTTACTCCAGAATCAAATCCATATCTTTGTTAACAAGAGGATGTGGGTGTGGGTGTAAAGATAAGAGTCACACCTACACCTACACCTGCCAGATGGATCACAGTTGATGGAGGTATGTTCAGATTTCCGAAAAAGGAAATTACAGAAATTTCCGAAGCTTCCATCAACTCGATAACTACATAGCAGAGCAAATGAAAATATTTTGGAAATATTGGAAAATTTAGAAATTTTAGAATTTTCTGTAATTTCGGAAATTTCGCTACGTATAGAATTTTGGAAATTTCAGAAATTTCGGAAATTATATAATTTTGGGAATACCAAACAATTTAGAACACAAGTGCTTGAAATTTCCAAAACTTCCGAAATTTCCTTTTTTGGAAGTGTGAACACTGCTGGATTTGAAGGATTGAATTACATTTTGTTCAGTCAACATTAATGCAAAAACTAAGGATTTCCAGAGAACCATTGTTTTTACAGGTGTTGGCGTGTTGTAGAGATTGCCAGAAACCTGAAAAAACCAAGTTCCTTAGTCACTTTGATTCATTTTCAGTGAATGGGAGATATCGAAATTTTTCAAGGTTTCCAAGGTTTCGGGATCTTTGGATGGAAACGGCATGGAATCATACTGGGTTTGGTCAGATGGTAATTTAGTTTATAATTAGAGTACATTTTATTATAATTTTTGAAAGGATTCCAAGAATTCCGACGTCACTTCTTTCTGTAGGATGACTGCGATGTTGACAATATAAAAATTTTTTTATTTTATTTCGGAGTCCTTTACTTATTGGATTCGATATTGAATTTTTGTACTCGATTATTTCTCCAATCGACAACATAGAGATTGCCATGTCGATCGAATGACAAACCGATGGGTCCATTGAGTTGGTTTGATTGTGTTCCTCTACCGTTTCCACTAACAATGACACTTCTCTATGTGGCTCCTTTGGGCCAACGCATGATTCGATCATTCCACTCATCAGCCACATAGACAGTGCCCAATTGATCGACAACGACACCTTTAGGATATGACAATTGTGTAAGACCATTTCCTTTTCCTTGACCACCAGCCACAACAATGCCTTGTTTTGCACCTTCCATTCATTTCATCACACGATCATTTATCGAATCAGACACATATACTGAATGATCTCGATCGACGGATACGTATTGTGGAGAAGAGAGTTGATTGAGACGATTTTCACTTCCATTGCCACCTGCAATCACTATTCCTTGAGATTCTCCTCTTCGATATCGGTTCACTTCATGTTTTCCTTCGTCAACGACATAGAGAGATCCATTCTCATCCATTGTCAAACCCACACAATAGATGTTGAAGATGATTCTTTCTCCACTAGTTCCATTTCGACGAAGCCATCGAACCAGTCTTCTATTCGAATAATCGCATATGATGAGACTATTTGTCTCTTTGTCGACAATCACATCGGATGGGTTCGATAATTGATGATTCCCACTTCCTGGCCCATTTCCATCTGCAACCACTTGTCCACTCTTTGCACCCAGTTTCCATTCAACAATACGGTTATTCTCTCGATCAGCAACATAGATTGTTTGACCATCACCAGCATACAAACCATATGGGTGTGAGAATTGATTGATTCCTTTGCCTTGTCGATTTCCTCCAGCTACAGTGATACCATTCTGTTTCCATCGAGCATTTGGATGAATGTCAATTGAACTTCCACGTAATGAATGGACTGAAATAGAGACAAAGGAGAGGATAAAATAAGAGCGAGAGAGTAGAGAGAGAAAAAAGTGAAAAGTTCATTTAAATTTTTGCAATATCAACATCGTTCCAAGTTTTAGCTGGTTTTGAAGTTTTTCTTTTGATAGTGGAGGCAGCACTATCGAGAGCAATTATTTATTTTGTTTCTTTTCTTTTCTTTTGTGAGAAGGTAGCTGACCACTTGACCAAATTGCTAGTCAGAGAAGATTATGTTACACACTTATGAACGAGGATGGAATGGAACGATCTATTGTTTAAAGCAGCAAGTATATATATATGTGAGAACAAAGAAAGGTGAAGAATTCTGTGGAAGGTGAAGAGGTCACCGGAAGAAAGAAGAAGACGAATACACACACATATATGTATAGAACAAAAGAAGATATAGGTGAAACAAACATGACGTCGTAACAAAGAACGGCAGAGATGATACACATATGATGATGTCACTTAACACTTTGTAAAAACGTTTAATTTGTAAGATGCTATCTTTAACTCGATGGAATTGGAAGAGTTTTATTAAGGTGAAAGAAACACTTGTCACGTTCCCGTTCCCCGTTCTCGGGAACGGAGAACGCCAAACACTTAAACGTAAAAAGATGAGAAAACATATTTACCATCCTCACCATACTGAAACATAACGAGAAAAGACAATTCTGAGAGGCGTTTCCGTTCCTAGGAACGGAACGCTGACATCCCTATTGGTGACTATCCCAGTTGTTAGCAACGTCAGATGACAGTCAACTTAGATGGTTGCTAACAGAGATCACAAGAAGTGCAGATGCGGGTGTCAATCGAATGTAATTATAGGTATGAGTGGAAGTGAGGTACGAGTTCATGTAAGCTCTGGATTTTCAGTTCGTTCGTACTACACCCACACTCAGATGATCACAAAACTCAGATAGTGATTGACTCTTTCAGTAGTAGACTAATTAAATATCATCAAAATTTACACATAAAAAGTGTTTCATCTAGGAATGCACCAGTTCCAGTTTTAAAGTGGTAGACAAGTCCCAGTCCCTATTTAGAACTGAAACTTGTGCATTTCACCAAAACGACAATAATGCGTAAAATTGTGAGCACAAACCATGTGAACATGTACAAAGCTGAAACTCGTAAGCGAAATAAAGTTTTCAACAATTACCAGGTTTGTAATTGCAATGAGTTAATCCAATAAAAGGGATTTATAAAAAAGTACACTACTGTAAATTATCTATACTACAAAAGAGTGTGAGTGTAGAGAAAGGGAGTGAGGGTGGGGTGTGAATATTAGTGGATCTAGGTGTGCCTAAAGAT